TAGAAATTAGAATTAGAAATGGCTAGGAATTAGAAAATAGGTCTGGTGTACAGAGGCATAACCCAAAAATGGAAACCTATGGTCTTTAACTGAATTACTTTTCCTTTGAGAGATTAAACTATTTTAGTTAGAAAAACATTTTTAGTATGGGAATAAATGCACTCATATCAACCCATTAATGTTAAATCTGTGGAGATTTTGAATGTCTTTCAGATGTGTCCTAATTTATTTTAATTGAATGCTTCCCATGAGTGTTAACGGACTGGAAAAAATCAAGCAGTCACTTTTTCTATTTTCTGTCATCTTTAGGAAAGTTATTAACCTTCAAGTTAGGGTCTGTGTCAGTTTTGTATCACATGATGAACAGTATTATCTTACTCTGTAGGGACAGAAGGTTTGGAAGAGCAGTCGCTTCGGTCTTGAATGTCTACAGAGCTGAGGACGTAGTTGTCTGTTCTGCTGGCTTGAAATACAGAAGAAGTAGTGAAGAGTGACACAGTTGTACAGAGCTGAAAGGGTATGTAACGTTTCACTTCGACTGATCTCATCCTTCACCGAAATGTTTTCATGTGCCAGGCAGTCTTTGACTTTTGAGGGAAAGTGCTCTCCAGGCTGCTACTTTGCCAAGAAACTGTTAACTTACTCCCTGTGTAAATTATTGCCTATGTAAAGCATTTGATGACTGAAACAAAACCGTATTACACATGTGTAATGTTGTCTATTTTAGTGCAATTACTTAACCACCTGTGAAAGTCTGGTTTTTAATCTTTTGTTCTCTTTGTTGTAATTGAAGAACAGTGATGTAGACGAAGAAGAAGGAATAGTTTATCAGAAAAGTTGAGGAGAGAGAAGGAGCAGGATACCGGCAGGATTGGAGCATTTGGCTTAAAATGCAAGAAATGACAAGACTGAAAATGGTGTGTTGCTAAGGCGGCTGGGAGAAAACATCAGCAAAATGGTCTAAGCTATAAATCTGGTTCTAGCAGCTGTGTGATGAGTAACTTTGATGGAGATGAGAGTCAGGGGTCTAGGGTCTCTTTAAGTAAGAAGTGGTAAGAATTCGCGATTTGAACAATGTCTGGGAAAGTGGTGAGATCATTAAAATAGTTTAACAGCTTCCTTGTTCCAGCACATTGGAAAGGAGTCCTCAAAAAAAATCCTTAGTACAGACCACAAGTCCACATTCTGCTCCTCCAAGTGAGAGTGCAAGCACCCAAATGCTTTGTCTTAAACTGTTTCCTTTTACGTCAGTGCACCCAACACTTGGGTGCTTCAGCAGCCCTCCCAGAGCTTCAGAAAGAAGAGACTTCTGTCCTTTTCTCTGATTACGGTGTGCAGAGATTGCAGTGCCTAATTTTGTTATGTTCTCATGCTCTAATAGCTTGTTATGCTTTGTCTCACTTATGCTGTGAAGTGCCAGTCACAGTTACCATAAGCCCTTTTTGTTGGCCGATTTACATTTTGACTAGCAATAATTGTCTTTTTATGCTTAGCGTTATGGATTGCGCTAAAGCTGAATAGTGTTTTGTGGGGTGTTTGTTCAGCCCTACAAAGAAGTTCTTGTGTGAGCACAGCTCTAACAAATGATCTAAGCAACTCTAATACAAAAACTGTTCAAAGTTGTTTTTTTCACTCTTTTAAATAGTTTATTTTTATGTTTGCTGGTAACTACTCAATGTATTAGGCAAACTTATTTTTAGATGTGGACTCTGTCTTTTTCAGCGTTCATAAGAAGTGAAGTTCTGTTTAGCAGATGGAATTTAATTTCCTGTACTGAGCTCTCATGGATTTGGTGTAGACTTGAGGATGTGGACTCAGTTAATGAAAGATAACTCCATTTTGGGTCAGACTCCCACTCCAATTAATCGCCACAGGGAGACATTAGTGCAGGACTAGTGATTCTAATAGGCGTCAAACAGAGCAACAGATCAGAGTGCTGAGCTTTCTGGATGCGCATCCTCCAGTTCCTTATGCTAAGATGCTTTAGGTATAATTAGACTTTGGTAATTGGGAGAGTTTTTTCTGAAACCAGTAAGGGTTTAGTTTCTGAATTGCAGCCTGTTTGGGCTTGCCAGGTATCAAATCTCCTAGTCAACTGTATTCTTAAATACAAGTTTTTAGAGCTTTTCTGCAGAATGGTTGAACTTTAAGACCTTCTTAACGAGTATTCGCCCTACAGAAGTGTGCAAGGGGATTATTTATCTGCTTTGCTGGAAACGTTGACTTGTGTACTTGAGGTAGTGTTACGCAAAGCTAATCCCAGATTAGTGCCTTTCCAAGCAGGCAGGGTAAAACTGGCTCTGTTAGTTGAGCTTGGGAAGGCTGTAATGCGTACATACGTAACAAAGCACCTGAGATCCCTAGAGACTGATGATTTTTATGTGCCAGAAAGATGTTTAACGGATTGCAGTGGAATTCAGCTCATGGAGAGGGAGTGTTGTGCACAGCCTAGATTTTAGCATAAAACATGGAGAGCAGTTTGTATTACAGTAAATTAACTTTCTCGAAATGTAATTAAGCTGAGCAGAGACCAAACCAATTGAGGCTTCAATTTTGAAGGTTGCATTTGCACAAGGAAAAAAAAGGATTTATTTCAAAATGAGGAACATGCGGCTTCCACTTACAAATAAATAAAACTTATTTTGTTTTGGTTTAACATTTGTTACTTTTAAGCCAACAAGATGTGACTGAAGTTCCCTAAACCAGAACTTTTTTTAGGGTGGCTGCGTGCAGGACAGCTCTGATGGCTTTTGCTGCCTAAGCAGCTTACGGCAAACAACAGGGTTTCTAACTACGGATGCCCAATTTAAATATTCCCCTCTGCAATTTGAGCTTTGTGTGTGTTAATACATGTGTGTGTGATATACATACGTATGTGCGTATGTAAGCTTATATCGACCAGAACTTTTTTTAGGGTGGCTGTGTGCAGGACAGCTCTGATGTCTTTGGCTGCCTAAGCAGCTTACGGCAAACAACAGGGTTTCTAACTACGGATGCCCAATTTAAATATTCCCCTCTGCAATTTGAGCTTTGTGTGTGTAATATGTGTGTGTGTGATATACATACATATGTGCGTATGTAAACTTATATCGTATATGTATATAAATATGTATTTATAGAGGTAAAAAAATAAAAGCACCACGAGCAAGTGCAGTCAGTAGAAACAAACCACTCCACCATCTACAGGGACTTACTGTCCTGAAGAAATTAGCAGATGGCCAAACATCTGATCCTTGTATCGCCATAGGAACTGACCAGTTATCCTCAGTTAAGTGCTGGTGTAATTCCCCTGACTTTCAGAGTGTCAGGCTGCTATAAAACCGATCTGAGGAGAGAAGGAGGTTCACATTTCTCTGGCGGTTGACGAGCAGCAAACCTTTGATTGCAAGTGACTGCAGAATGCTGCTGTAGAGCTCTTACTGCAGCAGGTCAGTCCTCTGTTGTCCTTGGCTGACTGTGGAGCTCTTCAGTATTTTTCAGAAGCAAACTCTTGCAAGGCTGTTTTACTAATTTTCTTGATGGTTTGGGTATTCTAGGGCCCAAGTTTCAATGAATAAAAACTGTAACATGCAGGAGATTTTAACTGGACAGATTTCTGTGCATTTCATTTCAGGAAGGAGGTGTTGGAGGAAGGACTCCTTGCCGAGACCTTGGTGCTTTTGATGATTGGGTTTTAAGTAAAGCCCTTTAATAATCGCATTCTAGCCAGCAATTTTATCTGTATTAGAAGTAAAGCACAGGGCTGGTACTTGTTTAGAAGAACATCTGTCTAAAACTGACTTGTGAAACCCAGGAAATATTCAACAAATACAGTATCTGAAATCTTTTAACATTTTATTAAAAAAATTGACAAACTTATTGCAGTCTGGATCAAAGGGGCGATCTCACTCCTGTTTACTAAACCTGAATTGCTGCTTGGCTCTTAAGCCTGACATAAATCAAAGGGGAAGTATTTTTTCTGTAAAACTTTTTAATTTCCTCCACTAGACAGTTTTATATAACCTGTCATTTGGATATTGCACTATTTTTCTTTCCAACAAACGCAGCATATCAAAAACTGTAAATCATGTTTGCTTACAAGGAGAAATGCAATGCAAATACGATGTTTTAGCTTTGTGGGACTCTTTTTATTTTTTCCAAAATAAAATTCCAGAAACTGTTTTAAGATTCAAGAGAGGATTTTTAAAGCAAGGAGTCTGACTGGCTACTTTCTGCATGTTTGATTGCATAAGAATTGTCAGCTGTTCAGCTTTGGGGGTTTTTTTAAGGAAAAATAAAAAAGAAGCTTTTGCAACATTCTGATTTATGCTGACTTCCAATTATTACACTGTTTACTCTCCTGGATAAGCAAAACCACAGCCGTTCTTTTGGACTTTTTAAGGCTGATCTCACTAGAGAGAGCCTAAACCAACAGACAGAATGTACACTTTCCAAAAAAACGTTCCCTCAGAGAGCTGTTTTCCATTGAAGAGTTTACCTTTTCTGGTTTAGAGATACTAGACTGTGCAAAACGTGAGATGCAGCTGTGTATCTTAGTTACCATATTGAGGGCTGTGTTTTTAGGCTGTGAGGTTTTTGAGGTCTACTTGCATACTAACTACCTGGAAGCTTAATGCCAGAGTAGATGCTTTCTAATAGGAGAATTAAATCTTAAGTGCACCTCTCTCGGGATTGAACTGAGGTTTGTATGAAGCTCTGCTGCTTCTGGAGCCCAAACAGTGGGCTGATTAGCAGAAGGGATTGTTTAACAAGCTTTTGTTCAGTTGTTAGAAGTGGGGGAGTTTTGTCATTTAAGAGAAAAATTTAGATTTTATGTAGGTGGAAATGTTTTAATCTTTGTCATTGTGGGAATTAAATCACTTTCTCCGTTTTAATGGTGTAAGGCAGGATAACTATGATTTGGATTTGGAGAACTGCCTGTATCCTCTGACTGTGGAGTAAATGGAGTTTTCATAACCAGAAATGGAGACATTACGCTTTCTGGTTTTCTTCTGCTATTAGATCCCTATACGTGACTGATCTATGAAATGGCAGAGAATGGAACAGATTGTGACCAGAGACGCATAGGAATGATCAAAGAACAACACAATGGAAACTTTACAGGTAGGTGGAAAAGGACTTGATGTTCGCAGCTGGTCGGCTTGGTGTGTAAAATGGCTGGCACAATACTCACAAGGAATTTTTGGTGGTGCCCTCTATGCCCGGATAATGCAGAGGGTCTGAATGCCCCAATCAATCTTGGAAACTTCATTCATCTCTAAATCTGAAGTCTAGTGGACTTACGTATTATAAAGCCATAGAATAGTTTTATGCTGTGTATTTCCATTCAGTTTTCTCTTAAATTCTTTTTCCCTCCAAAGTTCTTAATGCTGTAGTTGATATGCTGACTTGAGTACCAACAGGGGCTGCAACAGGACTGAGCTGAAAAACTAAACTGTTGGCAAATATGTGGCTGTAGCAGTCAGGCTATACAGCCCCACCCTTTGGCACTGAAAAGTTAGTACTTGGTAATAAAAATCTGTTATGCTCTGGGAGAAATCCAGTTATTAGTCTCTCAATTTCTAGCTTTTCTGTTGACATTTAGCTTCACTATAATTTATCAGTTTCAATGATAAATTACTAACAGAACAGTTAACTACTTCATCTCCTGCCTTGCCTCTGTTTTTCCTACTGGTGTGTCTGAAGTAGGCTTGGGCTAATGTGTAGGACTCATGAAAAATAACCTGAGAATGTTCTATGAAGAGCCTTGTGTCACTGAGTTATCTGTGCTGTGTAGTATAGCATAGAAATGATAATAATTTTAGTTTGTTTCCTGTCAGCTTTGAATGTGCCAGTTCCATATTTAATTAAGTTTTGTAACCAAGTGATTTCTCAAGTTGCGTGCAGTCTTACACCATTGTCTTTTATGACCTTTACTAAAAACAAAGTCATAAAAACAAGGTTGAAGCATTTTTATTAGACACATTAAGTGGAAAAAAATAGAGAATAGAAATTCTTGATGCAACAAATGCGGCAAGATTTAAAGTGGAACTGTATGTGTGTACGTATGGAACAAATCAAAGCCTTCTTCTTAAAGGCTTAAATCATTCTGTAACTCTGAGGGAATGTGGATGTTATCCAGTATTTGCCGTTGTAGGATTTGTTAGTTATCTAAAGCAACTGATGCTTACAGCTAAAGAATACAAAATGAAATGGGCTATGTGACTAATGAGGTATGCAATTTCTATGTAAATATTAGCTTCTGATAAGGCAGCATGTTTCAATTACTGGAATAAGACTGAAATAATACATCTTGAGTTACAGTATGCTGGGGATTCAGATTAGATTAACATTTGAAATGCAACAGCATTTTACAAATTTTAAAATTATATTATTGCAGTGTTTTAAATGTATACAATACAGACTACATATGTTTTGACTTTGTGTAGTAAGTGATGTTTAAACAAGTTTGGTGTCTGGATACAAGAGTTATTTTTGTTTATTTTTCCCATTGTTTTGTGATACTGGTTTTTTGTCTTATTTCAGAATTCATTCTCTTTAAAAGCTTAAAAATTATTACCGCTCATTAGCTTGATGACCTTTGAACAAGCCATTCTCATCCAAAAAATAGCTAAGGTTTTTATTAACCTTGACTGCATTGTAAGGGCAAAACAACACATTTATTAGAAGAACCTTTCTTCTGTACTCGTATGGTAGCGTACAGTGACGGGGGTTACAGTAGCATTGAGCTTTGCGTTATAACCAAATCATGCAGTTAAAAGCAACCAACTGTATAGTGTCAGTCCAGTGAAGGTCCTTCTCGTGGCAGCACTTCCTCTGGTGGGCTCATGTTGGAGAAGCTGAAGAGCATGGCAGGGCTTACCACAGCCTGAGGATCCTGACTGGGAGGGTAGATGCTGTTATCCAGTTACACGGGGACTGAAGTGTATAAAGAGCGCATGTAATTCAATCTAGTTCAATCGGAGAAGTCTGAGAATAGCTTTGGAATAGAACCAAATTCAGAAGTTCAAAGTGAAATGTGGTCTCTGTTGTGGGTGATAGTCGCATTTGACCCAATATATGAGCTGATTTGTAGCTAGTAGTGCAGTACCTTGCATAAAGGCTAATAGAGACACCAGTATCTTTTTGTTCCCTGGGCCATGTAGCTTCTTGAATGGTTGTCAGCTACATGGAGGAAAAAAGCCTTTGCTGGAGGTCCCCTGATTTCTGATGCTCTTGGAGCAAATGCTTTGTGATGAGTAGAGAAGATGATGGAGAGCTCACGTCAGCTTCCTAACAAAGCAAAGAAAAAAATGCAGTATATTTTTGGGTGGGATAGAATCTGAACTTCCAGCCTGTGCTTTTACCTTTCTGTTGCTTTTCATTTGCAGATTCCTCTTTGTTGAGTGAACGGAAGCGACGGGACCGAGAAGAGAGGTTGAATATTGTACTGTGGAGACAACCGCTTGTTACCTTGCAGTATTTTTTCCTGGAAACTCTAATAAACTTGAAGGAATGGACCATAAAGTAAAGATCATTTCTTTAACTTCTACTAAGCATTCTGGGGAAACCCATGCTCTGATTCAGTAGGTCATTCTGACATCTTGCTTTCCCTGATGATTCAGAACTTTAAAATTCTTCTTTCAGAAAACCTACTTACTTTTGTACCTTAAAGATGGCAACTGGAACATATACCACACTTCTAGCTGTGCACCCAGACCTTCTGTCTAAACTACATAAGTGTAAATACAGGAAGGTGTCAGTGGAAGAAAATTGCAAACTGCCTTTCTGAAGAGTTGAATATTCCAATTTGAAGGAGCAGGACAGTATTTAGGGGTCCTTAAGGCAAGAGATACTGTACTTATGACTGCAGTGTTAAGTATGTGTCTATTAATGTATGTGTTAGTATCACTGAATGATCTTCAAATAGCTCAGCTGGGGCAGGGTTCAGGGTTACGTGGAACTTGCAGTGATGTTTATCACGCTGCAAAGAGGACTTTGCTTGTAAGCTACATGGTCCCTTTCACAGCAGGAAATGATTTATTAAAGCACTTTCCCTAAGCGTTATTTACACACTGGACAAAATGGGCTTTTATTCCAGTTAGAAAATTTGCAAGTAGTGGTCCTAACATCCCCTGCTAATGCTGAAATGTATAGCACTGGCCTTGAGAGGGTTTGGAGTGCCAAAAAGCAAACATGAGTAAGATTCGCAGCTGAAAAAGCCGGGAGTAGCAGCCATGCTAGTGCTTGCGTTAGTAACTGGAATCTTTTGTGTTTGGGACTGAGTTTACAATCATTTTGCCAGTCAGAAGATAGGATCTAATATCACCTTGGGTGATCCTAGCTATTGTCCAGCTCCTTCTCAGAGTGAGTCGAGATTGGGGATGATGGGCGATATCCATTGACCCCTCTGGGCTAGGTTCAAGGTGCTGACACATAGGATTCATTGACAGAAACTTCTGTTTTCTGGTTTGATCTTCTGAAATTATTTGTGTGAAAAAGACCAGGTTTACACAGTGTAGTCTTAATCCCCTTTTTAGACACCCTGCCCCCCACCCCCCAAAAGTCAGACCCCGAAACCTACTTATTTTACTTTCAGCTATCATTGGGAATTGTTTCTTTGAGAACTGTTTTATCAGGTCTTACGTTAGCCATTTCTGACAATCTTCAAGCATTTCTTTAAACCCAGCAGAAATAACATCTGAGGTCTTATATTAAGCTGACTATTACCTGGCTTCCTAGACATCAAATTCTGTTACAGATAGCACTTGCATCCTCTGTTGTGCAGCACATCTGTGTTGTCTAGCGCTAGCGTGACAATGTCTTTACAGGAAATAACACTGCCTATTATAAGCTATTAAGTTGAGACCTCAGATTGACTCTTAATGATATCCTGTGTTCTACTTGAGTAAATTGTGATTTAAATGATGACCATCACTTGAAAATCCAATTCTCGTACTAATATAAGCAGCACAAATTATTTTAAAATTTAAGAAAAGTTAGAATGACTTTATTCAGCTTGCTTAATATGAAATATTTCTGTTTTCCTGTATTACACGTCTCAAATTTCTATCTTTTTCTGTCTGTCTAAATAGATAAGTTACGTTCATAGTTTGCTATTTCATGTCTGAGATTTTGAAGTGATGCTAGCACTTGCCTTTTTTATATCATTAGGTGACAGTACAATAGAGTTTCTAAGAAAATAATAAATCTATTTGCTAATCTACTGTGTGTGGCCACATACACATCAAGCAGAACATGTATGTAAAACTAAACAGGCTCAAAAGTAATTACATTCTTCTCCCCTTACGGTAGTAGCTTCATAATGCTTCCTAATTAGCTCAAATGTATTTCTTAAACTTTGAGCTGTTATGAGAGATACTAATTTCAATGGATCAGGGGAATCAAAATAGTGTAAAGATTTGTTCCTCTTACTGTTGCTGTGGTTCTGCCCACCAGCACACAGTTTGAAGTTAGCACTTCTGTGGTCCACCCACAGCTCGTCCCTCGCCCAGGGCCCGTGCAGTGCCTGCTTTGCACTTCCTTAACCGTGGATGTTGTTGATGGCCCCGTGTTTGAGACTCTCTTGGCTGCAGAAGCTGATTATTTGTTTTCAGATTGTGTTTGTTTTCAGACAGTTACTTTGTTTTTCATTATTTAAAAAAAAAAAAAAGCATGACTGAACTTTGGTCTCACTTGACAGTGAAGTAGAGATTTTTCCATAAAGACTAAAGGCTCCCCAGATATTGTCTTGGGAAGCTTATGCTTTTATAATAGCAGATTTTTCAGCTGCCATTGCCCCCACTGGCTACATCCACACAGACCCAGTCTACAGGGATAACTAAGTTACTTTGAGATGCATGTTGAATTATGAAAAACCCTAATTGCCATTTGTCTTTTAAGATTGTGGCATCGGCGAAGTATCTTGGTGTCTTTTTTACTGACGCTTGCAGTGCTTACAGCTACGTATTACGTTGAAGGAACACATCAACAGGTATGGGTTTTCTAGTTACTTTCCTTAGTGACTAATACTTCCTGCGCTAAAGTAGATGTACTGGGAGTTGAATGGGGTCTTCTTGAAATTGTAATGTATCTTTTCAACTCCTACTCACTAAGGATATTTGTTTCTCATGTCATGACTCCTCTCTGTTGTGTGTGGATGAGTTGCATTTTAGAGATGGGGAACGATCAGCTGTATCGTTTGATCTATTCTGTTGCATCTGTAGGTGTCCCACTTCTCATCCGTTCCTGAATCAGCACACCTCCGATGCTGCAGCACTCCTTCACATCTGCTGTTAACAAGCTTTTAATAGTGGTGTGAGCTCTTGAGATCTAATGTTAAACTGAGTCGTGATAGAACTTTGTGGTTCCCCAGAAATGTTGTTTCTTCTGCTGTGGAAGGGTCTCCTGACCCCTGTCACATGCTAGGATAGGTGAATATCTAGACATAAAATGGTTTCATGGTTCCAGTCTGGTTCTGTGATGCTTCTTATACCCCCACTGTTTTAAAATGGTTGTTTTAAAAACTTCCTTGTGCTTTGGAGTACATTGCTTTTTCATCACTTGAAGTGTAAGCCATTGCTTAAGCATAAAGTGATGGTGCTGTCTACACCTTTCCCTTCCCCGTTTCTCCTTGAGTTTCAGATTTTCCCTGAGGGCAGGCAGCCCTTTTAAACCCTGCAGAGCATTTCCTTGTGCAACTGAATCATCTTACCACTCTGACTCTGAGATCAGCAGGTTCCCAGTTTCAGAGAACTTGCTTACATCCATACTGCTGTGGTGTGTCACTGGCTGCCTGAGGGACATGCAGGTCTGGAACAGGAGTCCTGGCTTCCCAGGACGGGACTTGAAATGCAGTGAAACGAGTTGCTTCAGCTCATCGTGTCCTCGCTCACTCAATCCCATGCTCGAGACCTAAGCACTTGCACGCAGAGCAAGTTGGTGGATGGTAAATCGGTGGCCTGTTCCCGATGGACAAATACCTGCTTCGTTAAGAACTGCCCTGGGTTAGTGGCCTTGTCAGCATGAAGCCCGGAGCGTGACGCACTCGACATTTGCCACTAGATGGCTCTTACAAACTGGTGCTGAGGGCCATGGCCCCTGAGCGGGCTGTGGGGCCTCCGCTGCCCCAAGGCTTGGCACAGCAGTGCTGCTCAGGAGGTTTCCTTGAGCCTGCTGGGAACAAACCTGTGCCTCCGGGGCTGGCGGGGGGAGCGTGACCTGCAGGGTCCTCTGCAGGACCTCTCCAGCCTGGGGGGTCTCAGTCAGGTGTGCCAGCAGGTATCTGTCCATCCCCCTTCCTCCAGAGCTCCTTCCCTAAAGTCTGTGTCTTGCAAGCGCCTCTACCTATCTCTGTGTACCATCTGCGTATACTTGAATATGAGCCACTTTTTTTTTTTTTTCCAAAAGCATACTCAAAATACCGAAGTATGCTTGTGGTTTTCATTTGCTGGACTTTTTTTACACCCTGGCAGGTTACCAGTCTTAACCAGGCTTCAAACTTCATCCTGGTGCTGTTGGTCCATGGGTGGTACAAAAGGTGGCACCTCTTTTTGAGGCTGTGGTACAGACACCTTGGTGACCTGGCTCATCCTCTTAGTATTGCTCTCATGGCAGTGAGAGGGAGATACTGCCTCCCATTTCTCCAGTGCACCCACGTGGACTTCTTATGTCCAGAATCTGCTGTGACTTTCCCTTATCCCCTCATTTATGTGTGCAACACACAACCAACATTTTAATCTTTTCCTAAAAGTAACAAACCTGGTTGCTCACTGGTCCAAGATAAAACATTCAACAGACTAACTGAGAGTGCAGCTAATTCTATTCCTTTATTTCATCTGTTCAGGCAATTTCCTGAGCTGGCTGCTTGCTGCTTGGGCTCCAGTAGACACTGTCTGGGGCTTGCTGCTCACTGCTCACACCTAATATGCCTGTTCTGGATTTCAACCCCCTACTATTGACCTGAATTTTTCATCAGCCTCCTTGGAAACTTGCTGATTCTAAGGCGTGTGGGCTTTTCTTTTGAAAGTGCGATGTTTTCCGTACATGTCTGTGCTGTAATTGTAATAAATTGCAAATAGAAGTATCTTGGATTGTATTTCAGTTATTGTAATCCAGATAACTATCTGCATTAGTTTGTAGCTATAACTTTCTCTCCTAGGCGATATCACCATTCTTGGTTTTTTTTTTTTCTCTTTTGTGACTTTTGTTTTTCAGTATGTGCGGTATATGGAGAAAAAGTTCTTCTGGTGTGCCTACTGGGTAGGATTAGGCATTCTGTCCTCTGTTGGACTTGGAACAGGTCTCCACACCTTTCTGCTCTATTTGGTAAGGATATTTCCATACCGTGTTCTTTCTGAATTGAGTATTTTAATTGTTGCAGATTTTTAAATATGTGAATAAAGAATATTGCGTAAGTCCTAAATATGAAGTACTTCTGAAGGAAAAGAAATACTTAGTGTAATGCTTCTGGGCTCTAGTGAATGTTATTCATATTCTTTATGGGAAATAAAAGTCGGGGGGGGAGCAGACCGTCACAATGCTGTATAACCTTGTTTTGTAGTTTGTATGCTATATGTTTGCTGAACTGTAGGTATTAGCCTGCTGTTAATACTCACTTTGAAACAATGAGTCAAACTCTGCAAGCTCTATACTCTTACTGCCTAATTTAAATGAAACATTTTCTAGTGCGTGCAGCTCGATGTTTCCATTTAAAATTTTTCTGCATACTCTTATTTTTTAGTAGCTTAAAATGATCATTTTTCTAGCTGAAACCACTGAAATAGGCAGCTATTTTAAAGTTCAGTCTATTAATTTTGCTTTGAAAATAATAGCAAGAAAAATGTTTGTCTACAAAGATAAAATAATATCTGTTATGAAAATTTGTATGATGTTGTTTATCTCAACTTAGCTAGGAAAGTCAGGGAAATGTTTGGGTGTGTTTTGCTTTTGGCCATTGGATTAGTTCCTTGTTTATGAAACCACTGTCCTGGATTTAAGAAAAGGATTCATGGCCACAAAATAATTAAAACCAGTTTATGCAACGAATGTCATCTTGTATTTGGAACAATTACAGATGTTTACTTTCAGAACTGCTTTAATCATTAGCAATAACACAGAAAACACTACAAGAAACAAGAAACTCATGCTTTTCCACACAGCAGGGCAATGTCTGTTAGATCAAATGGCATCTGTATGGTCTGCATTTGCAGTAGTCTCAGACTTACTCTTAGTGTAGCTTCTCTCCTAAAGACTGTGGAGGCAGAAAGTAGAGGCGAAAGGAAACTATTGCTAAACAGAAACAAGTTTACGCATGCATAGCCTTCTAGACAAAAATATTGCTGTCAATCCAAATGATTGGAAATGGAAATTCAGTAAAGCTGATGAACACAGTGTCTAAACATTTTTATGTAACCCTGAGTAGTGCTTAGACATCAGTGAATTGACAATGTACAGATCTTTCCAACTTGCAGAGGCGATGCTGTTAATAGCTTAGGGACGGTAAAAAGACATGGGCTGGGCAGAGGGAGAATCAATCATAGTCATCGGTCCCGAGCCGAGGTGCTCTGCCTCGCTGGAGAGGCAAACGAGCATCGAGTGATGCCTGGGTGGAGCCCAGCTCACAAACTCAGCTCGCTTTGGGTTCTCTGCCAGCCTATGGTGGGAGTGAGAACGCAGCAGGATGGGATCACCAGCTATTCAGCCTTTAGCAGGACAGAGAGAGGAAGGGAAAAGAAAGCAATTCCAGGTTTGCTGCAGAAATCAGTTGGTCATGATTTAAATCAGCAAGGAGGAAACAGTTTAAATGATAAATTTTAATCTTGTTCTGCTTTTTATATATTTTCTTAGGCTATCAACCAGTGAGAGTCAACTTGAGATTTCCTCTAACCAAAGATTTCATGTATTTAGCCATTCTCTTTGCAGCAGTTTGGCGACCTTATCATACAGTTCCTATTCTTAATTTCCACACGTGTTGTGTCAGAAATCTAGTGAATCAGAAGTGTTATGCACCATTTCTTAACAGTATTTGAAGTGTTATAGTGTTTCTTTGCTATACATTGATCTGACACAGGGTAGTAAGAGTGCTGTCATGTTATACCCTAGGCTACTCCAAGATGGTTTTGTCACATAAAGAAGTCTTCATAAGACAGCACCACTTTTTTTCTAAAAGAAAGTGGAATGAATTGACCTTTCTTTTACTCTGTATTTAAAAATCAAGATGTTTAAATAGTTCTATATTACTTTAATAGAAAACAAATTAAATTTCACATCATATCACTTAAGTTTTCCTGTGGCGCATGCGAACCTAGTGGATATATTTAGGCCATGAGCTGAGCTGACGTTAAAGTTATATATATATATGTATGAAACAGAACTTCTCTATTGGCTTGTCAATATAATTTATGGTGGGCGTATAGGAGGTGAACAGGTCGTGCATCACCTAGGAAAAGAAACTTAGTTTAATGTTGTTAGTGAAGGTATTTATTTGGAATGTAAGAGGCAAGTTTTCACATAACTTCATTAGGAGGGGAAAACCAGACAAAATAGATTGCACTGAACAATTAGAAGGTGGTTATAGAATAAAATGTAATAAAACTATGCCATCAACATCTAATGTGTAGCAATACAGGAGAAATACTTGTTTAAGTATGTACGGCAGATAAGCATGTTTCTATGACATTGAGGGAATTCCGTAAAGGCAGCGGGTGTAGGAAGAGAGAGACACAAGGATTCATTTTCCTCTTTTCTCCTGTGCAAGATTTAGTCATTAGCCTGGACTGTAAATTTAGGACTATTGCACTTTGTCGGCACTGAACGCTTGTCTGAACCCCGAATGGTTCATGATCTGGTGGCACGTATCTGGCTTTGTAGCCACTAGATGGCAGTGGGAGTGTAAAAACAACTTTATTGCCCTAACAGTCTGTTGCCATTTTAAGTACCTGAACTGTTAATATTCTTGTCAATACAGCGATGTATCAGCAATATCTATATGCACTATGCTATCGATGTAGTAATACCCTCTTAATAGCTCCTCAGTTTGAGCCTGCACCTTGTATGAAAGGGAACATGGAGTACTAGTTTAAGACTGTTGGTGTAACTTTTAGGGGTAAATTATTTCACAGTAGTATTCTGGATTTAACCCTAGTGCTATTAGGAGCTCTAGCTTTCAAAAGGAGGAGTTTTAAACTAATTTGCTTTGTTGTGCAGCAGTTGCCTCTAAAAGTAGGTTAAGCGGGGAATTCACTGTATTAACTTTTACACTAATGTATATCTACTTTCCATGGTCCATATACTTTAATTACATTTCTTCATTATGGTAAACCTTATTCTTCTATCGATTCAAAGAAATGAAAAGTTACAAAGCAGCAAATCCTCTTCTTTAGTGCCTGGATTTGCTGGCAATAGAGAATAGACTCACTAAGTCTTCTAAACACTTCTCAGTAAGTGTTCTAAAATTGCTTATAATTAATTGCTCATTTTATATCTGTACATACAGTGAGATTGTTGGGAATGCAATTCCATGCTCAGAGAACAACGCTCCTGGGCCCACGCCTGTGCTGCTGAGCTCTTGTTGATGCCTGCAGTATTGTCTCTGCCGGTAAGGGCCAAGGGGTAGGAATTGATGGCATGTAGGCACCTGTTCGACAGCACGCCTGAACTTCTCAGCTGTGACACAGGTGCATCTTTTTAAATATAGCCCTCCATTTACTGCATGCAGCTATTTTCATCTCAAACTGTTCATAAGCTGGGAAAAATCATAGTAATAGTTATGCAATAGATGCAGCATATGTATGGCTCTGGATGTTTGCTTTCCCTGGCCTGGTGAGCTGTTTTTCCAGTGTTGAAAACTGTTGTTTGTCCGGATTCTTCACAGCATCCCGCACCAGCTGCTTTTTGGAGGGGCACGAATTCAGGTGCCAGGAGAGATCCTGGGGAGTACTTGGAAACAGTTTGCCTAAAGTAGATTTTACAATCCAAAGCAGTCTCAGTTTGGGGGGAAGTTGCTGACCCTGGTTAACATCAGTTCACGTCTGATTTGGATTTTGTTGGTCACCAGCACATTCTTGCTGCAAACATCTCTGTCTAGGAGGGAGAGGTCATTTTTGTTAGTTTGATAATAGGCTCTTTATTGCTATTTCTGTGATTCGGGAACTTTCTATATATATTATAAGGGTCTGAACGTTGTCTGCTGCATTGGTTCCTAGTTTAATGCTGCTTCCTTGGTTGCAGCCAGCAGCAAATGTAAAATTTGACATGGCTTTTTGGGAAACGATTCTCGTGCTGCAAATTGGCACGGAGCTAAGGGCTGGCACAGAGCAGCTCTTCTACACAGAAATAGGGAAGCAGGCCACTCTTCCAAGAATCCTCTTTATTCTGACACTTTCAAAACAAGTCTGCTGGCTTATTTTCCCAAAGTCCATTAAAGGTTTTTCACAATTCTTTAAAAACAACACTTTAAAAATAGTAATCATGATGTGGCTCTGTAGGAAATAAAACTATTGTGATTAACGACTCTAAATACTGTTTTTAGCAGCACACGGCTTTTTTTATTAGTCCTGAGATGTTTTCTCTTCTCTTGGTGGTATATTAAAATATAAATGGCATGAATCACCTAATTACCAAAAGAAGATGACTGAGGGTAACTCGTCAGGAATTTCTTGCATTTGTACATCTTGGAGAGATCCGTTTGCTGCCACAAAATGAAATGAGGGAGCTGCCAGAGGGCCGGTGGGCAGCGGGCTCCGGCGGAGCGGGGACGCTGGGTGGAGCGCCGGGTTGGGACCGCGCTGCCATTGCCATCTTCGCGCAACGCTCGGCCTCGTGATTCGGTTTCAGTTCAACTCTGGCAAACGGATTGCAAAAGACGCAGCCGAGGCAAACAAAATCAGCTTCAAATTAATGCCTATCAAAAAGCCTTGCGCGAGCAGCGGATGATAAATGTCCCTTCTGTGTACGGTCTGTTATCATCTGTAACGGTGGGGGGATGAATGGAAGCGAATTCCTTACAGGTCAAAAGGCTTTGGCTGTTTGCATTTGTTTGTGTTTTTGTTTCTTGAATATGGATCTCTGCTTGCTTGCTGATAGAGCCAAGTGGAGCAACTGCTGAAAAGGTTTTTGCTGGTGGCCGGGTTGTGGACTAGCACAAACAGGAAACATGAGGTACAATAGGAATGTTTTGTGTGCGGAGGTCACACAAGAGTTCGAATTTTGTCAGAACCGTAATACGTGGGTTTGTCACTTAATTCTTACTGGGGTGGAAGAGAGCATGGCAATAATTTCAGGCCATGAAAAAGAACAGAAAGCTGCCTTTAAAGAGAAGGGAATCG